CCCGTGGCCTTGGTGTTATCAGCACCGCACTCTCCCAAGTGAGCCACGGGCCAGCCCATAGTTACAGTTTTATTACAGTGAAAAGATACAGATTAAAATCAGCCAAGGGAAGAAGGTCAGGGGGCAGAGTCCAGAAGAGTTTCAAGTATCAGCTTCCAGTTGTCCTCTCCCAGCAGAATCATGGACAGCTCTAACTTCTCCCAGCAACGACAAGTAACCTAGAGCTGGCATGGAGTATTGCCAACCCGGGAAGCTTACCCAGGCCTTAGTGTTCAGGGTTTTTAATAGGGTTCGGTCATGCAGACAAGTTTGGCTGCCCATGTGGCTGAACTTAGTGTCTAGCCCCTCTAGAGGTTGAGCTGATGCCACATGGCCTGAAGGCCCTGCCATAAATCACACTGTTAGCATAAACTCTTTGGTGTGGCCCAAGGCCACAGGTAAACAAAGATAGTCTAACCAGGTAGGACATCCCAGGGATTTAAAGATTATCTCTCAGGAGCCAAGGGCAAAAGCCAGACCTCTGTTTGCACAGGGGTAATCCTTCACTGCACAGAAAAGAAAAATTCCTGGGACTAAAGAGAGAAACAGGGTTCAGATAGAAGACAGAAGAGTATAAAGTAAGGGGAATGAGAGAAATTCAGACCCATCTTGATGCAATGTCAGTGGCACAGGGGTGACAAAAAGCCCTTCTGCCATGACAGGTAATGGTACCAGGCCTCCAAACTGCTGAAGAATATAATTTTGAATCAGTCACTCTGGGCCTAGAAACTATCATCTAGTCTAGAGTGAGGGTGGAAAAAGATATTTCAAATACGCGAGGATTCAAAACACCTACCTACAAAACCCTTTTCTACAAAAGGTACTTAGGGATATACTTCAGCAAAACTAGAATGGAATTCGACAAAGAAGAGAAGTGGTGTGAAGGAGGGCAGTGTGAAGACACTGTGGGAGGACAGTCCTGCAGCAGCCCAGGGAACAGACCGTGTGTCTACCACTAACTATTTAATAAATGGAATAGGAGCAAAATGCTGGATGATCTTGGTCCAGTGGTGAGCCAGGCATTTGTGAGTCACACTGGCAGTTTGAGAAACACCACTCTAGAAAAAACTAAAAGTTGCATACAGGAAAATCAAGGTTGTAATATGAGAAAACGAAAATGTGGCATGATGCAAAACAGTGTTTAGAGCTGCCATTTAATGTTAATGCATCACACAGCACTGGTTTAGTGAAATAAAATTACATCTTCATTATTGGTCCACAGTGATTAGTATTTACATAACCTTAATATTATACATGCTCTATATTTTCACTTTCAGACTTAGCCTGTGAACAAAGCACTGAAGACATTATAATCTCAGAAAGACACCTTGATGATGTGAAAATAACACAGCAGACAGAACAGGGAAGGTGAAGTGGAGGAAGAGAGCAGAGGGTAGGGTAGGGCAGTTATACTTACGAGTGCAAGTGTCAGGAAGTTGAGACAGTAGACATATTACTTAGAATTATAACTGGCTGGTCGGCTCGGCTGGTTAGAGCGTTGTGCGGATAACACCAATGTCCAGGGTTTGATCCCTGTACTGGCCAGCAAAAGAAAAAGAAAAGGAAAAGAAGAATTACAAAGGTTACCAATGAACAGTAAAAAATAAAGTAAAAATCACTTGTAAAAATTGGGAGAGGGAAGGAAAGGAAATATTTCGTGATAAATTCCATACAGTTCTGGAGGGGTGGGATAGGGAGTAACAGTGGAAACGAGGTCACAATATTTTAAACACTCAATATAATACATCATGAAATAGAGGCATAGGCTTGTTAGTTGGCATCATAGGGTTATAACAGAATAAATGCAGAAAAGATCAAAAGTAATTAATCTTTGGGGAGTATGGCTGAAGCTGGAGCTGGGAAGGTGGACTTCCATTTTTCAATGTGTCCCCTTCTATCTGGTCTAAATAATTTCCCCATGTGCATATGTTATTCTTCTAACTAATAGGAAGAAAAGCTTATCATTTGAAAAGATCAGCCTGGCTGCTACAGAGGATGGTTGGCAGGAGCGAAACAGAAAAGGTTTTCAAGGGCCGGCCTGTGGCTCACTTGGGAGAATGTGGTGCTGACAACACCAAGTCAAGGGTTAAGATCCCCTTACCGGTCATCTTTTAAAAAAAAAAGAAAAGAAAAGGTTTTCAGAAATTCATCTCTTAAGGAGCTGGGGTAGGCTTGCTTTCCCCAGTTTGTGTGTCCTTGGATGAATATTAATTGTCGCTGGAGTTACAGTTCAGCACCAGCTCTACACTTAGGTTGTGTCTGTAAGGAGGCAAAGGCTGACAATCCATGTTCACGTGCATAGGTGATTAGGTAAGGAAGTTCTCCCTATGGCAGACACGTCGCTCAACACCTGAGTTCATCCCAAAGTACACTTCAGGAGTTCAGAACTGTCACCTCACCTTCAGGGGAGAGGGCAGGAAGGGCTAGGCACAGGTGGGTTATGGCAGGAGCAGAGGAGCAAGCTTTACACTGGCCATGGACTTTGCGCTCTGGGAGGTCCTTGCGACCCAACCAGGGGAGCTGCCCCCAACCCCAGGGCAGCATTTCTCATCGCTGGCTGCTCGGAGGCTTTTATTTATTTATTTATTTATTTTTGGTGGCTGGCCAGTACGGGGATCCGAACCCTTGACCTTGACAGCAACCCCAGGGCAGCATTTCTCATCGCTGGCTGCTCGGAGGCTTTTATTTATTTATTTATTTTTGGTGGCTGGCCAGTACGGGGATCCGAACCCTTGACCTTGACAGAGGCTTTTAAAAGATGCCCTCGGGGTCACCCCAGGCCGGATAACTTAGCGTTCCAGGTGTGAGACCCGGCGCTTGTCTTCTTTAAAACGCCTCCTCCCCAACCCCGGAAACTCTGGTTGCCACCACCGCATTGCTCCAACAGGGACGTCGAGGCGCTGAGGAGTGGGGCTTGCAGAGAGCTCCCCTGCAAAAGATCCCTGACCCCTCTCTCCCCCCGCAGTGTACCACTGGGTGGAGATGAGGACCAAGATGCGCATCTTGGGCTTCAATGCAGAAGCCGTCAAGCCAATGAATGAGGGGGCGGCCGCCGAGTTGGGCGCGGAGCTGCTGGGCGAAGCCATCATCTTCGTCACAGCCTGCAGCTGCTTGATGCTGGAGTACCGGCGCCACCAGGCGCAGCAGCGCCGCAAGGAAACCGAGCGGCGCGCCTCCTGGGACGCGATGCGGGACGAAGTGGGCCACCTGGCGCTGGCGCTGGAGGCGCTGCAGGCGCAGGTGCAGGCGGCGCCGTCGCAGGGCGCCCTGGAGGAGCTGCGGGCGCAGCTGCAAGAAGTGCGCGTTCAGCTCTGCGCCCGGAGCCCGCAGCCCGAGCCCCAGGCAACGCCCGTGTCCGAGGAATAGGAGGCAGCAGAGGCCTGGTCTTGGACGTGACTGTTGTCTGAGCTGCGACGTCTCCGATATGACCTACTCTCTTCACTATCCCATCCTGAACCGGCCCGACTGACACCACCCGGTCCTTTTGGGGACAGAAGGGATCTTGGACTGGGGCCGATCCAACCGGGCATTTGGTCACGTCCCTATTAACCTGCCCAGTAGTACCTCCCATTGGGACTCCCCCTCCCACTGGTAGAATGTTCCAGCAGGGACCTCTCCCTCCCTCGCCCCCGCTAGCACATTGACTTAGTACTTTGTAGAGAAAGGCAGCGTCTTTTATTGGACACCACCTTACGCACATGGATTTGGCCAGACTGTCATTCTGCCTCTCACACCCCCATTTACCCAAGGAGTGGGCTTTTCCCCTGGGACGCTCATCCACGGCAACGGAACACTCCCTGCCTCTTCATCGGTACAGAACATTGTAAAGAAAATGCTGAAAGTCCCAGTGGGACTTCCCGACCCTTCCATCTACCTCACTCTGGAGGGGGGGGGCGGTGAAGGGGGCGCGGGAGATGGATCTTTGACTGCATTAACTCCAGCGACTCACCCCGCGGCTCCAGCCTTTAATCCCCCATTGGTACCTTCGCCTGGGAGCCTCCCCTCCCTAAGTGGATCGTCCCAACAGAACACCCCTCTGCCTTGCGTCTATGACACAATCCACTGGCGCCGCTGTGCCAGGTCTTCCTGTGCAGTGCCTCCCAGGTCCACCTTCCACGGTCCTTCCAGCAGGACGTGGCCTTTTGGGGGATGAAAAATTGGTCCCGTCTAGGGCTAATCCATTCTGACTTTGTCTCAGTGCACTGTTTACTTGTCCCAAGTCCTGGACCTACTACTGTCCTTTCCCACCGTCTTCTCCCCAACCTTCAATAGCCTCTCATAGGGACCCATCTGTCCCCCTGATACATGAGTCACTGTCACATACCCCATCTTCCTTCCATTATCTACTGAGTACTCAGGGACTTCTTTCCGGCCTTCAGACTGGTCCCCCAGGGCCCTCTCCATCCTTTTTCATGCAAAGGCCTCCTCCAGTGGAACTACCTGCCCCTCAACCCTGGGGTCCCCCACCCTTATGCAAGTGGAATATTCCACCAGGCTGTATTACCTACCACACCCACCCCCTGCCAATGCAGTGAACCACAGAAGAGGGTGTGTATGAATCCCGTGACTTCTGAATTCTATTTTTTCAGACTTTAAATGTTTTATAATTAAAGGAGCTCTGTGGTAAAGAAGTCGTCTTAAGAATGTGTCTGACTGTACTGGCCAGCTGCCAAAAAAAAAAAAAAAAAGGAAGAATGTGTCTTCTTGATATGCATCTGCAAAATGGGTACAAGTGTCATTAAAATTAGGAAAGAAGCTGTGCAGAGGGGGCAGAGACATCCTACGAGCCCTTTTCGAAACGGGAAAATTGAGGCCCAGAGTAAGGCAAGGGATTTACTGAAGGCCACAGTCAATGAGGGACTGCCACTGGCCTTCTCTAGGGTGGGACAGGGTGGGAAGGAGGGAGGAAGCAGCCTGGTAGGGGGCAGGGGGAAGAAGGCCAAGCAGACAGATCATCCTGGCTGCAGGGGGCTCAGGGAACTGGAGCAGGTACAGGGAGTGCCAGGCAGGAAGGAGGAAGATGAGGGGCAGGTGGATTACTGGGCGGGGGTATAAGAAGGAGGGAGGGAGGGGTTTTCAGGGAGACAACCAGGTCTTCCAGGGAGGGACACCAAGCATGGCGCTCGCCCCCATCCTCATCGGAACAGCCCCTCAAATCACTCCAGAGATCTTAACATTTACAAAAACTGGCAGATTTATTACACAGGGGCCCATTTTCAAGAAGCTAAAGGTAAAGAAGAGGTTTCCTCCCCTTTTGCTTTCTGCCTCGTCTTATTTTTTCCAGGGAGTAAAAATGGGCTGGACCCCCAAACCTACCCAAATAAAAAACCAAAAAACTGAGGTTCTAAAAAGTTACAGCATATTAATTCCTCATAGAAAAGGGGAAGGAGCCAGAGGGAAAGAGTCTCTGGGGTGGGAAGAGGCACCCCCGGCCTGGTGGGACATCCCCCCCCTTAAATAGCTGCCCCAAATCAGGAAAGCCTGGGGTACAGCATTTAAAAACTCCCACAGCCCATTATATCAAAATCAAAGAGAAAAAAAGTTTCCCTTTTCCCCCAAAACTCAAATATATATATATATATTTTTTTCCCCTTAAAAAAACAAAAATTTGAAGGCATTAAGCATTAAAGTGAATCTAGAACAAGGGAATGTGAAATTCCCTCCTTCCTTCCTCCTTACTGTGGGGTTGATTGGTATGTCCCCAGCAGAGGAACCAGCCCCCAAGGGGATGGCAGAGGGGAAGAACCAAAGGAAGCAAAGGGTGGGGGCTTCCCCAGCCAATCAGCAGCCAGTATGGGTGTGGGCGTGGTGCTAGGAAGGCCACACCCCCTTGGAATTCTCCAAGTGGGACGGGGAGTGGGGAAGATGCATTCCTGTGTAGTCTTCAGCCAATTCCACGTCAAGTTGAGGCAGGAAAAGCAGGGTGACAGGCGGGGTGTGCGGAAAGGAGAAGCAGTCTTCTGGGTCCCTGTGGTCAGGGAGAACCCCGCTTCCTCAGCTCCTGGACAAAGGCTGGAAGGAAACAAGGCACAGAGGTCAGGGCCAGAGCCTTTCCCCCCTTCCCTTCCAAAACGGGGCCCTTTCCAAGGGATATGATGCCTCCAAAATAAATAAATGTTTTGAAACTACTTCACCTTCAATTATTTCCTCTTTCATTTTCTGCAATTCCTTCCTCACCTCTTCCAGAAGTTCCTGAAAATAATGGGTATAACCAATGTAGAGGGGTACCTGGACTTGCAGAAATGAATGCCCCCTTTCTTATTGACTGAAGAGCCAGAGGAAGCAGGTTCGAGACCCACCCCCACCTGCACACCATGACATCGCTGAAAGGTCACAGAGTGACTGGAGGATTCTAGGGGAGATTTCTGGATCCCTGGAGCCAGAAGAAAAGTATTGGAGAATATCCAGTACCAGGGTTGGCAAATACATTCCAGTCTCCTGCCAACTCCAATTGGTAATGGATGGCTGGGGTAAGTGTGCTGAGAAGGATTCTGGGTACTCATCAGGAATGAGTGTGCTGATAGATTAGTAAAGTCTGTCACAGGCACTGGACAAGGGGGAGTGGTGTCTGCATCACCCCTGACCTGATCCAATCTCACCGTTTCTCAGACTGGAAAACTGAGGTTTCCGAGGCCTTTTCTAGAATCACACAGCCCGTCAGTGTTAGGGGTCTGGATCCAGATCTCTTCTCTTCCTGTGGCCCCTCTCTGGCTCCCAACCTCACCCCCAGCATCCTCCCCAAGCTACCTGCTTCACCCTCTCCATGTCTGACTCATCACTGGAGCTGGGTGTAGAGGGGTGGGCCTCGGAAGCGGTCACCGAAGAAGATGACTTCATCCTGAGAGATTTGATGTGGTTAGGGACAGAAAAGAGGTTAGCAACAGGACATGCTTCCCATGCCAGGGGTCACACTGTGTTCCTCCCTATAAACTGGGCAAGTCTAACTCTTCTGGAGGATGGGGCCCCAGTGTTGATGGCCCACCTTGGCAAGGTTGTGCTGTTCTTCTCCCAGGGTCTCCGCACAGATTCTGGGGGACAGGCAACAAATCAGAAAGATCAGGAACAAGAACTTCCCCCAATCAATCTTTCTCCCCCAGCCTCATCAGCCGCCATTCTTAGGAGACTACAATCCCCAGCATTATTTACAGACTCTCCCATGAGGTGCTTTCTATGTGAGAACAGGGCATCCTAGGAGTTTTAATTCCTGCGGCTCTCACTTACCACTCTGGGCTGGGACTCTGGCCTCTGGCTCCTCCTGCTGGTGGAAAATAAAACTGTCATGAGCCAGCCCTTGCCACACCTCTGGTCATTTCCCCTTCCAGGTTCAACCCCGCCCAGTCCCATCACAACCCCCTCCCCAATATTCCTACCCTGATGGTACAGCCTAAGTTGTATAGGACAAGAAGAGCCCCTAACTTACAGTGGCAGATTCATCCTTGGGGGGCTTCTCCCCAACTTGTGTGGCTTTCCTTCTGCAGGAGGGAAAGACAAAAACAGATGCCTCAGGCACTCAACAGTCTTCCTTGTCCCCGCCCCCCCCAGAGTTCTAGAAATGTGAACTGTAGGGTATAGAGTTCTGGAATTCGTGAAGGCTAAGGAAACTACTTTTAGAAGTTAAAGAGATTGCTGTTCTAGAATTGGGGTGGGGGTTCCACATTCTCACATTTGGAATCATAAAATTCTATGGGTGAAAGGATTCTATCTTAGAATGCTGGGATTCTAGGAATGAGTTTCCAGAATTCTGGGCTCTATTTATTCATTTATTCATTCACTTATTTTCAGGCGGCTGGCCAGTATGGGGATCTGAAGCCTCGACCTTGGTGTTATAACACTGTGCTCTAACAGAGCTAACCGGCCAGCCCTGAATTCTGGGCTTGCTAACTTTCTACAGGCTACCGAGGTGGCTGCAAACCTCAGCAATACAGTTTCTCAGGAAACTATAGTCCCCAGCATTACATCCTAAACTGGCTATCAAAGGGGAAACTTTCACCAAAAGAAACAAAACAAAATAGGAATCAGAGCCTTCCCCCTCACCAGGGCCCACTGAGCTGGAATCCCCAAGAGATTTGGGGGTCCAGGCTTAGGCTTACCTCCGGGCCAGCATGGCATTCATCTCTTCCATGAGCCCCCCACCTGTGCCTCGACTGCTCTCAGCTTTGGGGGCCAAGGGCCCCCCAGAGACCTCCTCCTGCTGGAGATATTAAAAGGGGGAGGATGCTTTATGGGCAGGACTCCTGGTCTCCCAGCCCCCCTATGATGCTTCCAGGCAACTCTTGCCTTACCCCTTTATTCCATCAGGGCCCCGTTACCCCACACCTGCTGATCCCAGCCCCTCACCTTGCTGACTTTCCTGAGTTTGGCTCCAG